GCACAGGATACAAAACCTCACCGGTGGGAAAAAGGAAAGCAAAGATCTCTGCGCCTGGATGACTTTTCTGAGAAAACCCAAGTCCCCCCGACCTCTGGCGTCCCTGTCTGTCACGATGTACACGAGCACCACACATGCACCTGTTCACGCGTCCTCAACCCTTCATGCTCCGGGATGTGTCAGGAGGGTCTCAGGGGGCTCTTGGCTGCCTGTGGTCTCTGCTCAGAGCGCCAGAATTCCGTGCTCGGGTCACCGGACTCCCTGCCACGGCTCCCGCCTCCAGGTGGCGTGTCTGAGCCCTTGACCCTGACCTCTGTGGGGTCCAGGGCCCCAAAGGTCAAACCCCCCTCTCTCGCAAGCGTCTGTAGAAGGGCCCCCGGCTGCTGCTGCCCTGACCCTGGTGCGGCACGCCCGGCTGGGCAGGTCACAGGAACCGGCCCCCTGGTCTGTGACCAGTACACCCCCCTGCCCTTCCAGAGCCCTGATTCGTCAAGGTCTTTGAAACCAGCTTCAGCGACTCAATCTTGCCAATAATCCTTCCATAGTTTGCTATCACTGACCGAACCCCCACCTCCTCAGTGTGGACACAGGGACTCAGGATCAGGCTCCGAGCACACCTGTGGCACTGCTGCCGTGTCCTTGGCCAGGCCACAGCAGGGATCTGGGCTCAGGGACCCGTGCCTGGCGGCCCCCAGTGTCCCCAGAGTGCCCTTCTCAGCTGCTCCCTGTAGAAAGCGCTGGATCCCTGTCCCTCTGGGCAGCGCTGGCTGCCCCCCTCACAGGTCCAGAGCACTTCCGCTATCGGGCCGTTGGGTCACACTTCAAGGTCCCGGCACTCAGACTACAGCCCGAAGGACGGCCCCGGGCAGGCCCCCCCGGAAGTGCTTCACAGAATCGACCATTCCGGTGTCCCTCAGGACCTCCTCAGAAGGGGCTTTGAGCAGACGCAGGTCAGAGACAGCACAGCCACACGAACAAACACATCCACGCACACAACACCGAGCAGGAGGCGGGCCACGGAGGGGGTGAGATCCGAGAGGAATCCCCCCTGCTGCTGGGTCCCACACCAGGTCGCGCCTGAAGCACACCACTGCCATCCCGTCGCCAGGACCCTGCGATAGGGATGCTATTTGTGCTCACGGGACTCAATGACAAGATGCGTGCCCTGGGTCCAGGGACGGGGCAGCCGGACGAGGGACAAGGCCAAGGAAAGGACTGCAGAGGCCCCGCGGAGAGCTTGAGTGTCAGGCAGGTATCCTGTGACGCCCAGCATCTCAGCCTTCGGTGCAGGAAACAGAAGCCACTCTTGCTATTTCCAGCGAGAGGTGTGCCGCGAGCAGATCAGATGCTGGCGGGAGCCCCGGAGGGCCGGCAGGTCACGTGGCGGGAAGCTCCTCTCGCTTGACCCGGAACAGGCCCAGCTGCTCGTGAACGTGACCCAGAGAACCCCAGACAGCAAGTGACTGCTGCCTCACCCAGGCGGTGGGGTGACTGTGGATGCAACGCTAGGTTAGCACGGTTCCCCCGCCCTGCTCACAGACCGGTCGGCTGGCCGGTGTGGACCCCAGCCGACATGGCCTCCATCAGCCCCAGCTGTCATCGGTAGGACAGACTGACGTCACGTTCTCCTGATGGGACGCGCGGAGAAGGGAACGAGAGTGTAGCTTGGGTCATCAGGGAACAGCAGAAAGGCCCACGCAGACGGCCGTCCTAGCCTCCCGTCGACGTTCACTCCCTGACTCTGGCAACTGGAAGGCGCCCGCAGGAAATACAGAGTCGCTTAGCGAAACAGGACGTGACGATGCAGCTTTCTCTCAAGCGGTTTGGGAAAGGACCCTGGGCCTCGCTACCCGGCCAGCCACGGAGAGGAAGCACGAACCGCCCGCTCCCGTGTGGCAGGGTGGGAAGGGTGCTCAACTCTCGGGACTGTGCCCACTGCCACCTGGCCCACGTGCAGGCTCCGAGCACGGCTCACCGTGATCAGCGAGTGAACCGGGCCTCCCCGCCAGCCCCCCCACCCCGGGCTCCTCTGAACCCAGGCGCCAAGTCTGAGGGAACCCACACACACGCATCACTGTTTTACCCAGTAAGGCCTAATCAGCTTACAAAGGAGGCAAAGGTGATTTGTTAGCTTAATTTTGTGAAAAAAACACCCGGGTATTTTAGAACTTTGGAGGATGAGATCTGCATTATGAACGCCTTATCAAAATTCTGTTTTAAAACAATGTAAACCTGGGGCGCCTGGGTGGCGCAGTCGGTTAAGCGTCCGACTTCAGCCAGGTCACGATCTCGCGGTCCGGGAGTTCGAGCCCCGCGTCAGGCTCTGGGCTGATGGCTCAGAGCCTGGAGCCTGTTTCCGATTCTGTGTCTCCCTCTCTCTCTGCCCCTCCCCCGCTCACACTCTGTCTCTCTGTCTCTCAAAAATAAATAAACATTAAAAAAAAAATTAAAAAAAAAAAAATGTAAACCTTACGGAGCAGTTGCAAGAATGTAACAGTTGGTCCGTATAAACTTCACCCAGATCCACTAATGGTTAACATCTTGCCTCATTTGCCTTATCTCGGTCTTTGGGCTCAGAGGGAGGGAGACACATGTATTTTTCAGGAGGAGTCTAAACCATATGCTAAGTAGATTTCGTAAAAATGGAAAGGTAAGGTGCAGACCTTAGTATACCAGGAGACCTCTTCTTTCAAAATAAACCTTCACAAGCAGTCTAAATACAAAAAATATTTTTATTTACACATTTTAATACATTAAAAAGTTCGTTCCTTATGTCTCTACTTTGAAGATGAAATCCCGTGCAGGCGCCTGGCCGACTCCGTCGGTGGAACAGGCAACCAACCCTTGATTGTGGGGTTGTGAGTTCAAGCCTCAGGCTGGATGTAGAGATCGTTTACAAAGGAAAAAAAAAAAAAAGACAAAACTCCCTACAGACAGCTTCTTTTCATAAATTCCATCAATACAATAGCAGTTCTCAAACTGCATCACCAGAAGTCCAAGAATTCACAGACACCCAGCACTGGCTGCATTCTTTTCAAAGGCAGATTATTGTACTGCATTTAAAAGACCTATACATTTAAAGCAAATTTGAATTCACAGCTTTTGGTCAAGATACAATCATTTACTTAAAGCATACCGACACGTGACAACCCATATTTTGTTAAAAAAGGCGTTTATACTTAAAAAGGACAGGTTTATGGATAATCTGCCATAGTACAAATTCAACAACTCAGACATCGGGGATTGAGTCAGAAATATATTCCATGGAAAAGAGACATTCTTACTGTTTTAACAATAAAAGACGATATAAAAGTGGGATTCAACCTGCACAAGTTTATCTTCTACGAAATATCAGCTTGGGCTCATCCACACCTCTGAGGTCTGGGGCGTGTGTCATGGATGAGGGGGGACCGTTCTGTTGCAGAGAAGCTTCTCTCAATCTTGGCAGCCGCCCCCACAGAGAATGGCCTCAGGTCAGTTACGGGCGTCCTCGGGGAGGCAGGAGCTGGCACCGAACGCAGATCGACTGTGCGTTAAGCACACAGTTTAGTTCGATGGGCACATTTCTCTTCAGGGCAAGACCTCTGGACGCGGGTCGCTGTGCGCAGACAGGTGGCGTGAGCGGAACGGACCTTGTCCAGCCTGGTCACCGCCCAGCAGACGTTCTGTGAAAAAGCCCCTCGGTAGAGTTGGAGGCTCTCAGCACGCTCCTAACACAGGCTTCTTTGTCGTGCAGGTTCAGAACCGGCTGCGAGACACGGGGCTGCGGGGCGGCTGCTGACTGTGGGGCTGACGAGCACGAGAGAGGCCAGAGCACCAAGTCTCCCGTGTTCCCTGCGCATCTCAAAACTGAAACCATTAGTTTAGGGACGCGCACGGAGACACACGGAGACACTTGGGACTTCACGCGGTGACTTCCAGACACGAACCGCTGTCGGGTCACGTGGAGACGACGTGTGAAAGTCTGTGACAAAAGGGGGGTTTGCACAGGAGTGGCCTCGCTCGGCTGGTGCAGCCTCCCACGGGGACCACTCTGAAGGACAGCGCGCTGCTGGGGTACGTGGGTTTATGGCACATAAAACACTAGTCTATACACACGTTTTGGTGACTTTTCAACAACTGAAGGTGACATGTAAGTCAAGTTTGCAGCATTTAAGACAGTGGAGCAGATCCTAGGAGCTGGAGAAACGACAGACACTTGCCCTCCGAGGACACTCACTTTTTCAGAGGATCGGCCGGAGTTTGCCGTGTGAGCGGGGGTGTCTTTTCTGCAGAAACGTTCACTCATCACACAGCGTCCCTCCTAGAACCAGGCTCGAAAGCCACACCTGCTAAGTGTCCACTATCTGGTGACGTCAAGGCTGTTTAGCAAAGTGCTTTGCCATCTGGAGTTGATGAGTAGAAGTGACAGACACAAACAGGAAGAGCGTCCTTCACCACGTCACAATTTTAGGCCAAGTGCTGGCGGGAAGCTCCACACACATCATGTCATACAGATATCTGCAAGGCTTACGTCACCTGCTGACTTTTCCAAAACATCTGCATTCCCAACACTTGAAATAGCCAGATATCAGGTACCACACTTAACTGATGGTTTTCGAACTTTTAACCAATATATAAAGACAAAAACACGCATCAACTTCTTTGTAACTGCACCCCCTAGTGGCCTACTTTGTCTATTAAAAGAGACCATCACCCCCGTGCCTGCACACCCACACCCGACCCAGTCTCGCAGCTCGGAGAACAAGTCCAGGGTCTGTCTGTTCTTCCCTCCGTCTTCTCCCAACTCCACTGTATATACATATACGTGAAAATGGGTGAAAACGTAAGTACAATATAACCTTAAATTAAAAAATTAGCTGAAATGCAGTATATTAAATACGACAGACCGTGGCATATCTCCACCAGGATTTACACACGGTCAGTGGAGTAACAAGCCTTTTGGGTTTAAAAGGGACATTTTCAGACAAATGACCATTCACTTGCCGTCCTTTGGCAGACTACATCCTCAGGGAAGCCTGGCCTTGCAAACTCTTTGTGGAGAGGTCGGCCCTCTCTCTCAGCACGCTGGCTTCCTCCGCACTTGCGTGCGTCTGCACGCTCTTCACCAGGAAGTGACTGATGAAGAGTTTCAGACCTTCTCTCAACATGCCCAGCTTCGGGCTGTCAGCCACTCTGGAAAGGAGTCGGAGAAACGTGTGTCAGCGATGAGCTGGCCGCTCCCAGACCACAGCTCTGGGATCTCCCGTCGGGAGACAAAACCTAACTGCTTTTAAAGAACAGAACTCTCAGGTAAGAGCTTAACAACCTATTCTACACGTCAGAGGTTATTAGTTTGCCCCTGGCAGGTATCGTGTTCCCCAAATCTAACGTGTAAGACGTGAGCTGAAGGCTAAAACGGAAAATAATTTATTACGCAGTGTGTTGGAACAGAACAAGCTGGCACATACCTTGCAAAAATTGAAGCCAGGTCTTCAACTTCAGTTTCCATTAACAGCATATATAACACTTTTCGTAAAAAGTGGACTCTGGGTTTATCCAATTCGCTGAATTCAACTACCTAACAGGAGTCAGGACAGAGAGAAAAAATTGCATTTAGTCCATTTCTTTCAACGATGTCCAAACATAATTAGAGTAAAAAATTACCTGCCGCCTGTAAGTAACCTACTTCCAAGTTTTATAAGACGAAGAGCTGTTAGCAAGGGTGGGGTCGCGGGCCTGTTACGTACTGAGGGCAGGAGCCTGCACGCCCTCGTCGAGTGCAACATGCCGCTGGGGGTTTATATGGGCGCAAAAGTTATGAATCAGGAATTCTAGAACTGAAGCATACTTATCTCCCTGCCTTAAAGAAACCACACCCAAATTAAAACCATACATACAAAGTTTAGGTCTGGGGAGAATCGCTCACACATACGTATACATACTCCCTGAGAAATAGACACGACTTTCGCTACACTTACAAGACAGAAAACTGTGCAGAAGGAAATCAGAGAACAGAATTACAGATATAAACGTGCATGAAACGTGACTTTCAAACTCATGCTGACTTAACCACAAAGAACTGTAAAAGGATACTCAGCACGGGGACAGGACAGTACTGTCCATGTGCAGGACTCGGTACGTGAGATGACATTACGTGACACCCGCAGATACACAGGCCCAGTAAGAGTTCAACAGCACACCTGAGAACCGGAGAGGTCCCAGCGAACGGGGCTAGGGGAGGACCCCGGGACAAGCTTCAAGGACATCTCTAGGCTCCACTGAATCCAGGGAAACATCGTACCCTACTCCATTCTGAGCTCAAAACTCGAGCAAACCGAAGGCAAGGTCTCTCCGGCAACGAGAAGGCACGTCCTCGCCACACTCCACAGTATTCCCATTTTCGGAATATGGCAGAAGGCTCCGTGCCTGGTTTTCAGTACAGTGGCCTAAACCTAATTCCACACCCGAAAGAGACACAGTCGACCTGCCTCGGTGCCCTGGTGGACACGTAAGCACAACCAGGAAACCGCAGCGGCCGTCTGTCTGCGGGTCAGGGAGCGGGAGGCACGAGTCCAGGCCACGAACACCCTCTCTGGCCCTCAGGCTCCCTCACTGTCCACGTTTCTAGGATGCCCAGGCCCGGGAGCCACCTCAAACTCCAGGTCCTCTGTCTCGGTTCCCCCGTCCACTCTAGACATCGGGGCACCTGCACGTCACTGGCTCGGACGTGACCCGGAAGCAGGGCAGGGCTGGGGCGCCCTCTGCTTTAAGAGACGCCGTCTGTCCGTCGCAAAGGGAGAAGCGGAAGCCCCGCACGGCAGCCCGCCAGTTCCCTGCCGCCCCGTCCTCCTCCTGACTCGACAGCGGCCAGTGCGGCTGTATCATTAGGGCCTGCGCGGGGACCCAAACTCCAGACAAGATTCTCTGAGAGGAGCAAAACCATAACAGTGCCTTCCTCTACCGAGTGCACTCACACCGTGAGCGACTCCGGCTACTTCTCACAGCGCTATGGTGTTACAAACACACTTCTCAGGGCCGCCGGGGGCGGGGACTGAGTCGGGTGAACGTCCAACTCCTGATTTTAGCTCAGGTCTTGATCTCACAGTTTGTGACTCTGAGCTCCGCATCTGGCTCCGTGCTGCTGGTGTGGAACCTGCTTGGGATTCTCTCCCTCTCTTTCTGGCCCTCCCCTGCTCATGCTCTCTCTCCCCAGGATAAACATTAAAAAAAAATGGAACAAACTGGGGCGCCTCGGTGGCTCAGTTGGTTAAGCATCCGACTCTTGATTTTGGCTCAGGTCATGATCTCACGGTTGTGGGACCGGGCCCTGCAATGGGCTCTGTGCTGACGGCGTGGAGCCTGCTTGGGATTCTCCATCTCTGTCTCTCCCTCTCTCTGCCCCTCCCCAGCTTGCACACATGTACTCTCTCTCAAAATAAATAAAATTAAACATGTTTCAGCTAAGTCAGAATCTAAGGAGACACATTTTCTTGAGGTACCAAACAAAAGCAACTGTGTTATTACTTTCACTGCTTTCAGCAATTCCACACGTGATACAAACCTTTAAAATGGAAAGTGGAAGTGACTTTGTCTTCAACAAGTGGGCTACCAGGTGAACCAAATTAGAGAAATTAGTGGCTGGCAAGTTTTCTAGGTCCCGGAATTTATCCCATATGCTGAACTGGAAAGTCATCTGATTGATTGAAAAAAAAAAAAAAAAAAAAGAACAAAGTCAAAACGCAAGAAACTGTTAGTGCAAGTCGCTAGAATAGGCTCAAAGGCGCTCTACTACTCATGTGTCTGCAGTATCTTACGAGGTGAGTCGGGACAAGCCAGGAGCGACACGCCCTCCTGTCCCACACATGGTTTGCACAGCGTTTTCCCTCAAATCGGCAGAAACGGTAGAAGGAGGAGAAAAGGTCGGTGCAGGGCAGCATCCAGGAGGCCCTCCCCAGAGACGTGGGCCGCCAGACGCCCTCATCTGCAGCAGGAAAAGGCAGCGTGGCCATCGTTTCCCCTTCACTCTGCCTCAGCGATGTCCCCTGGCTCTGCCCCAGAGGGGCCTGGCCGTGGGACCGGTTCCCTGCATACCCTGTGGCCCCAGCCGGGCCCTGACTCAGGGCACTTGTGCCCGCTGGGCTGAGCCACACAGAAGGTCCGGGTCCAGGAAGACAGAGCGGAGCAGAGGTTACGGGCGGCCTGCTGACGGAGTTACCTGGAACCTTCTCTCGTGTTCACAGAACTTGCCGGCCAGGAACGCATAGAAGGGGTTGTAGCTTTTCTCCTGAAGGCAGCAATCCATGAGAACGTGAACGATCTCCCTCTCCTGTTGGTCCCTGAGCCCAAGCCTGCGAACAGAGATGGTGATGAGTACGAAAGCGTAGAGGAGCACAGCCGGCCGGGCAGTTTGGGTAAAGGAGAGCTGAGGAGAGGAGGCGCGAGTCACAGGACAGGTGCCACGGACAGGCCTGTCCTTGCACCCGGGAGTTCCATTCCGTGTGAAGCAAATAAAGGAAAGTTAACTCCTATCACGTCTCCTGAGAAGGGTTTTGTAAGGGTTCACGGACACTTGAAGAGTCTTACCACAACCAATTACAGAAACTACACCAGGATGTTTTTAATTTAGAAAAAATCAGAAAGACAACCTCGATAGGAAGATTCTAAGCGATTTACGACAACCAACAGTCACTGAGAAGAATCAGTTGGTCACCCGACACTTTTCATCAAAATATATCGAACATGTTCTACTCTGGAACCACTGGCAGCCGGCGACGCCTGGAGCCAGGCAGGGGAGGAACGGGACGGCCCGGCTGCCCCGAGCGCATCTGCTCTGACCCCTCCACCCCGTGACGTAGACCTCAACTGTGCTGCTTCCTTCCACAGCATCTCAGCAAACTGCACATCCAAGTGTTCACACACACACTCACTTCAGAAGCTTTTCAAACGCGTCCAAAAAATCTTCACTTGTCATTATTGTGCAGAATATGTTTCTCCTGACATCGGTGTTCATTCTCTGCTTCCTGGCGAGTTCTAGTATCTTCCCACTAACCTGTAAGAGGGGTAATTAAGACACAGACCACACATGTTTTAAGCAAAAGCGAATTTCATTCACTGTCTTTACTAAGTTTCTAAAAGATAACATGTACGTCTTTGTGACTTTACAGAGGACTGACTTAACTGTGAGTTATACGTAAATATGTATGTGTGAGTGCCAAATCTTTATCCCTGGGTGAGCCCCACAAAGAGAGAACGGCAGCAGGAGACCTAGAGGGCCGCAGGAGGAGAAAAACTGCCTGCTTTGGGGGGCTTCTCAGAGCGCCCCCATCTGTCCGTCTAGACAATAACGACATAAACTAGACAGAAGTGGCTGCAGCCAGAAGAGCCAGGACGATGAAGGAGGACATGGGATCCTGGGACAAAAAAGGGTGTTAGGGGAAAGTGAAGGAAATCCGAGTAACACGTGAACTTTAGTTAATGATAAAACACAAAGAAAATGAGGATTTCTGACCATCTGAAATGCAAGCTTAACGGACCGGTAGCCACCTCTCCCGGGAAACCCCTGCCTGCATCTCAAGTCTGGTATCTGCAATGTGAGCGTTCGGCCTTCGTGTTTCCCTCATTCAACTTTTGAGTCCTTAACGTAACGTATTCAGGGACTTGAGAAACAACAGAAACGGAGTTAAATTCTATCAGCAAACGGTAACAGTTTCTGTAAGGTTTCTGAATGAACCCAGGGGTCTCGTACCGTCCCCGTGGGCCGCCTCTCCGTGACCTTCTGCTGGCTGTTGTCAATCATGGGGGCCCCGCTCCACGCGGACCCCACAATCCACCAGCGCCCGGTCTGCTCTGCGTTCAGGATGCCGTCCCAGGAGACGCGGAGCTGGGTTTCCGTGCCTGAGCCGGTGCCGCGCACCTGAGTGAAGAGAGGGAGCTTGTAAAACACTTCAGCTGGTTCAGTCTGTACTTTCATCACCCTTGGCTTTGCCTGTTGTTCATAACGGGATTTCTGATTTGTATTGTTTTTTTGTTTATGTTTATTTTTGATAGAGATAGTGTGAGCGGGGGAGGGACAGAGAGAAAGGGAGACACAGGATCCCAAGCAGGCTCCAGGCTCCGAGCTGTCAGCAGTGAGCCTGACGTGGGGCTCAAACTCACGGACCGTGAGATCGTGACCTGAATCGAAGTCAGACATTCAACTGACTAAGCCACCAGGTGCCCCTGGTTCGTGAATATTGTGATGGGTCACCGACCAATGGGATAGTTGACCAGTTTGGAATGATGCCAAAGTGAGACGTGAACTCTCACACTGCCCCGTTTGGAGAGTTGTCACGCCAGGAAGACGCTTGCACTCAGGTCCCAAGGACAACTGCACGGAGCTGGCGGTGAGAACCGCTCTGTGCCTGGGGTCTGCGAGTCAGTGATTCTGGACCTGCCCAGAGTCGGGGCCGAAGCACCCCCTGGCTGGGGGTGGGGAGGTCAGTGGGTCTCAGCTGTGGGCCCACATCTGGAGAACTTAGGGAGCTTCAACAGCCGACTCCCACCCCCATGGTGTGACCTCACTGGTCTGGGTGGGACCGTGGCCTGAGCCTCTTTCAAAGCGATCGGAGAATTCTATCGCGCAGCTGAGTCGAGCACCACAGGCTAAGTGTCGGGGACGCTTAAGTCACAGGGACGCCTCGGCACACAGACCACTCAGAGGGTCTCACCACAGAAACACGAAGCTTCCTTCCAGGATCCTGAACTCTTACTAACCGGATGTGGCACCTAACAGCCCCAACTACCGCCCAGGTTCCACGAGGAGTTCAGGCAGGCACAGGAGCTCTGAACAAGCAAGAAGTCCAAGGGCCTCACCAGAGCGCGTTGTAATTTCCTCAGCTTCTCCACAGGCTCAGGGTCGTAGCCGGGGATCTTGCGCAGGTCATTGTTCTTCAGCGCCAGCATGGTCTCCAGCATAAACCGAACCTTTAAGGAAAAAAACGAAAACAAAAGCGTCCCTTCGTACGGTGCAAACCCGAGATGGAAAGAACTAACCCAGCCGTGCACACCGCGGACGGTGAGCCAGCCTGGTCCTCAGGTAGACGGTCTCCACTAACCTGACCCTCCTGCTCAGGACTACAAGTTTTTTTCTTGTTGTTCTCCTTTTTTTTTTTTTTTTAAATGTTTATTTTTGAAGGAGAGAGAAAGAGAGCGCGCACACGGTGGGGGGGCAGGGGAAGAGAGAGAAAGAGACACAGAATCTAAAGCAGGCTCCAGGCTCCTAGCTGTTAGCACAGAGCCCAACACGGGGCTCGAACCCACCAACCATGAGATCATGACCCGAGGCAAAGTCAGACGCTTAACCGACTGAGCCACCCAGGCATTCCAGGACTACGTGTTTTAATACCCGACGTCCTCTGGGACCCAACCACCCCCCTAAGATCTCACGTTCTTTCCTCCACCCCCACCACCTCTGACCTGCCCCCTGCACCTCCCAACCCCACAGTCTTAGCTATTCTCTCTCCATTACATTTTAACGTCTTCCCCATTCCTGGTCTTTTTCTTTTTCTAACTTTTAAATCGGAAATAATGTCATAGAGAAAAGCTTTTCATGTAACTTTCTCTGAGATTTCCCCCGATACTACCTTTTGATCGAGAGAGTAATTCACACACCATAAAACTCATCCACATAAAACCGTATGAGCACATTCAGGGGGGTGCAGCTATCCCGATCAATTTCAGGACATATTTATCACCCCCAGAAAGAAGCTCCAAACCCATCC